ATATACTTGGAAGGCCCGTGAAGTTTCATGCCAAAGATAACTTGTGCTTTCCAGCTGATTTAGGAGATTATCCTTCCTGTGTCTGTCCTCTCTTATTCAGTCCATGACAAAAATATTACATATACTAGATATTAAACATACTTTCTCTTTTTATCCTGGGGCTTTGAGGAATACCTGTCTCAATTTCACCTTTGCTAAATGCAGATTATTTGTTTATACCATTATCTGGCATGACTACAATGAGATCTGCAAGCTGAAGACTGGTAGCTGCTACAGGGAAGGTCCTGCTACTTGGTCCTACTACTTGGTCCTACTACATACCCAGGTCCTACCTGAGCATGCTTAGGGAAGGCAGATGCAGATGCTTTAATCCTGTCTTTGAGATGGATAAAACTGCCCTGGGAGTAGTGTTAACAGCTTGCTAAATATTCCCATATCCAGAGGTTGTGTCTCATCATGCTGGCTTGCCTTCTGGATGATCTTTCTATAGAAATCCATGTATAAGGCAGGTGATTTTATTTATCCTAGAATCATAAGGAAATTACTCTGAACTTCCCACAGTTTGTATGAGTGTATGGAGAATGGTCCTAAAGCAGAAAGAAATTGCTTAGCACCACCAATCTTCCCCTACCTCAAAGCCTGACAATGGCATTGAATAACTAATGCGAGTGCCAGGGTTGACAGGAGCCAGGTGAGTTCTGCACAGTGCACTCCTTTATACCACACCCTTCATATCCCAAGAGCCTTGGATTGACATGCCCTAGGTATGGAGGGTCATGCCTGCTGATAGTTTTCAGGTGATGATATGATAGTTGGCACATTTTCACATGAAACGGAAGCGGTATTATTTTAGTTCTCTTTCCATTCCTAAGAAATTAGCAAAGTCAATCTGCCGTTTGTTCAGAAGAGCAGTTTGATGAGCCATGGCTCTGAGGTCCTGCTCTGATTGTCTGTTCCTCTCATGAGAAATAGCTGTTTACATTAGCAGGGTTTTAGAGGTCTAACGGGAACCATCTGACTAAACTGAGAGTTATTTTTCAGCTCTCTGTATTCTTGGTATTCCTGAGTGACTGGATTCTATTTGAAATTCCTTTCACTGGTTTATGGCAGGCTGAAGGACTCCTCGCCCCGTTAGATTCAAAATGACAGCCTATGGCTCACATATACCATGAGCAGAATTTACACAAAGAATCAAAGTATACAGGGTGATCAAGCTGGGCTGCATTTAGAATGGAGAAGTATTTTTTACCTGAAAACTTGTGCATCGTATCTCCACATCCTGTAAGACATCCAGAAAACATTGTTTCACCTGTTTGAAAAATGACAGTGGAAAATTATGCACTGACTTAGTGGGACATCTTACCAACAGTAGATACTACTAATGTTCCAATTTAACATCTGCACAGTGACCTGTAAACTCACAAATGACAAATCATGTCTTATTCCCTGTCACACTGGCAGCTACAGCATGTCCAAGTTCACAATGAGAAATAAAATTAAGACAACAGTGTGTTTTCTTTGACTGCTTATGTAATCTGGAACTTGTTTCTCTTTTGAAGAACTACATAGCCTGAACATGGTGATATTAGACACCCTCTGTGAATGATCTCAGTTAAATCAGAGTGATTACTTCAGTAGAGGTGACATGAGACTAGCTAGATATCGGGATGTATTTCTTTTGAAATAATCAACTAATTATTTCTGCCAAAATGCCGATGCTAGGTTTGGATTTGTGTTGTTTTTTAGCTGTTGCCTGTGTAAATAAATGCACCATATCTCAGTGAGGGCTGTGGTAGCTATGAGCCAGTGCAGAAAGTAAACAGTGACTTTTGTAAGAAAAGGAAAGTCATGGGAGTTCAGAATATCCATCTCTTGATTACAGGAGCAACTGGAGCATAATGGGGAAGGCTGATAAACAGAAGAACCAAACTTGACAGCTCCTCCATACAGAGCCAGGAAATGCATTGTCTGTGCAAGATGTGCCCCTGGTGTGTCTGTATTGCTTTGTGCAAAGGTCTCATATTCTTTGTATGCTGGAAGTGAATGAGGCAGATAGCTCGCAGCTCAGGGACTATAAGGTTGTCTACATTGCTGTCTTGGTGAGGAGTTTCTGGTGAACTTGGAGAGGAACTGAGAGGCTGACAGTCTCTGCAGGCTCTGGACAGTCAAGGTGACGTGCAGTTGGCTGTGATAAGAGAGAAGGAAAAATCACCTCAGTTAGAAGATCAGGGAGACTATATCTCTCCATTTCTAGTGGTGTCTAAATCAGTCTATTTTGAAAGCTTGGACTCAGTATAAAAAAGTATATAAAGTATATAAAAAGCTCAGTATATAAAGAAGCTTGGACACATTATTCTAGTACAGACTTGATCTATCTCTATTTAAAAGGATTCAGGAATATTTCAGCTTTTTTCTTCCTAGTGGTGCAAAGAAAGGCGCAAAGCCGTGCTGAGAACTCTTCCTCAGCATCCTCCTACTATAATTGGTGCAGTTGCTCTTCTAGGGCTGGATACAACTTTCTTTCTTCATCATAAAGTCATAGGATCATAAAATGGTTTAGGTTGGAAGGCATCTTAAAGACCTTAAAGACTATTGAATTCTAACACCTACCATGGACAGCAACATCTTCCACTAGACCAGATTGCTCAAAGCCGCATCCAGCCTGGCCTTGAACACTAGCAGGGAATGGGACATCCACAACTTCTATGGGTAACCTGTACCAGTGCCTCAATGCCCTCTCTCCATCCATAATTATTTACCTACCATTATCTTTATCTGCCCAGAGGGTAAGAGAATGAAATTTCAGAAAGAAGTCAAATAATCCTTCTTGTCCTCACTTATACCCTACAATGAGCTTGTCCAGTCCATGATTCTACTTTCCTACATGTGCTGCCCTTTCAGAATATCAGTGGAGCTCTTGCCTTTAAAAGAGGGTGGTCTAATGTACTGTAGGTGGAGTCCCCAGCCCTGCAAATATAGGGCACAGGCACTGTTTGGGGAAAACCATGCTCTATATTTTTACCTTCTTATTTGTGCCGCACAAAGGTAAGTCAGAAGTTTCTATCACTTCTAAGGGAGAGAGTGTTTCCAATTGATGTTGTTCAGACCCTACTTCCTAGATTACAGATTAAAGTTTCCCCATCAACTGGAGGAAAACTCCTCACCTGCTGATCTTATAGCAGCAGAGAGATAGAGGAAGGAGGCATTGGAGTTCAGGGACCAGAGGAACCAGACAACACAAAATTTGCAAGCTGCTATGAAGGGCAGGCTTCTGATGTGTAATGTGGCAAAAAATGAGGGGTTTCAAGGAGAGTGAATTTGTTTGCTAGAGAGATACAGGAATTCATTCCAGTGCTCCAGGACTATATGTTTTCTGTCAAACTGTCTGCTGAGGTGAAGGGAACAGTATTGAATTAATTGGGCCAGTTTGTGTGTGGGAGAGCAGCACAAATTAGGACTGTGTGGGGAGGCAAGTGTAGATGGTATGTCATATATGTTTAGGGGGCAGAGTCAATTAGGAGCCTGCACTGTAACTGGGGAATTGTCCAGTTATAAGACTTTTGGTTGCTTTGGGGAAATGAAAATGCTTTTTTCTTTTTTTTTTTTTTTTTTTTTTTTTTTTTTTTTTTTTTTTTTTTTTTTTTTTTAATAAGGGGGAGGGAAAAAGAAAAAGTTTTTTTTTTTTTTTTTTTTTTTTTTTTTTTTTTTTTTTTTTTTTTTTTTTTTTTTTTTGGATAATAAGGAGGCAGAACAGGATGAAGTAGATAGAGCAGAAAAAGAATTGAAAGGAAACTTAGCCCACTCATCTTCCTCCATCTGAAATTCTTTCCCCCTTCCCAGGATTCCTGTGCGTTTTCTACCTTGAATGCAAAGGTCATTGAAAATGGGATAAAAGATAGAAAGTGCCTTGCCTTCTTCCCAAATTCAAGGGCCAATGTCCTCCCTTCCATTTCCACACATTAGCATTAACTACATAGGTCTGGTGTGTGTGCTTTTTATGTTCTTTCTTTGTATAAACTTTAGTAGTGGGTTGAGAAGAGCCGCATCAGCAAAGGGTTATCTTTCCCTGTTGAAGGAGACTCTGGAAAGTTTTATCCCATTCTTGAGATTGCTAATTCACCCATTTCCAAATCAAACCTGCTGTGCAAATTTGCATGCAGTTTTTCTCTGGGAGACTTGATGTTAGCAAATATAGATTCTGTTTGTAGATGCTCATTCATACATATTTGTTTCTTTGTGTCTCAGTACTTTGAGTTTTATGACACAATATGTTATGCAGTGAATTTTGTTTTAATTGGATTTGTATAAATGTATTCAGAAGGCCATGTGGCCCCATCTAAGGAATACAAGAATTACAATATTACAATAAGGAACACAAGAATTACAAATATTACATTTTTTTATTATTATTGTTATTATTACTATTATTATCTGAGGCCTTAAGTTTTGCTATGTAAGATAAACTACATAAAGAGAAGATTGAGGCATTAATGTTCTCTCAAAATGAAAGAGAAAAGGAAACACTCATGTAAAATGAGAAGCGAGCAACAGCAGGTGTTTTATATTATGCTCTGATAATATTTTTCTCTCAGGTTAAGAACTCTAACTACTGGGCTCTTCAATTCCTAGGAGATGTATTTGGCAAAACCTCTAGACTTTTTAAATCCTGATTTATATGTATATATGCATATTTTAAAAAGAAGGGAAGGAGGGAGGGAGGGAGGGAGGGAGGAAGGGGCCATGAGTCTCCCCATGCAGGTGGGCGCATGCTGCTTGGCCACTCAGCCCCATCCTGTGGAGGACCCGATGTCTTCCATTTGTTCCCCTCTGCGTTACATTTCCTGAGCTCATTCACAGCTGTCTCCATTATTCACAGCTCTGAACTGATGAGAGGAAGAAAGAAAATGTGTGTTTTATCTGTATGTGAACTGTGAGAAGGTTGCAGGCGGGGCAGTGGGCAGAGAGCCGTGGAGATAGTGACCCTTGCTGTTGCCTTGCAGGAATGTCAGCTCTGCTGGAGAGGAGGCCCGCAGAAGAATGAGGGAGTGTGATGGCCTGACAGATGCATTGCTGTATGTGATCCAGTCTGCTCTGGGGAGCAGTGAAATTGATAGTAAGGTTTGTCGTCTTTGTCTTTTCAGCAGCAAATACAGGTATTCAGGGCACATGGGGACTATAAAGAGACAATATTTTCATGATACTCTTTTTTAAATGCATTGTGAGGAATGTCTTAGCAAAGCATAATTTAGCCCATCTTTTCCTTCTTTTTTTTTTTTTTTTTTTTTTTTCTGCTGAGCTGTTTATTTTCATGTGCTAAGCATTGTATTTGTACCTGTGTAGTATGCACAGGTAAGCATGTCTTCCTCTCTATTGAATTATTGAAGTAGAAAATATGATACTGGTTTAAGAAGAGCAAATATATCATATTCCATGTAAAGTTCCTTACATTGTTCTGCCAGTTTTACCTTAAAATTGATTTTTAGTACCCAGTATGAGAGCTAATGAGAGTGAGGTAGGCTTAGAAGGAAAACAAGCAAAAAAAAAAATTGGGCAATTAATAGGCAGTTTTGTAGTAAAACAAACATTATTTCTTCTTTGAAGAGGATCAATGAATGCTTTCAATAACAACCGTGTTAAGATGCCTCATTATGTCAACTTTACTTCTCTTAAAATGCTAGGATATGAACAAGCTTCTCCAGAGGTGAAAGGCACTCCCTAATTAAAAAGACTCCAAGCATTTACAAATTGAAGATTTGTAATGCATTAAAGTATTCCAGAGAAGAAGAAAAAGGCCAGTTTCTTTTGCTTTCAGTATATGGTGCTAAATTAATTACAGCTGCTGCTCTAGGGCACCTTGGTCCATTTGCAAGCCCTTAGGAATCGCAGGAGAGCAGCCTTTTATGCAGCAAGGTTTTAAAGCCCACTGGGCTTGTATTTCCAAATAATATTTCACAGAGTTGTCTGTGGACCCCCATGGGTTTATAGATTTGAGAGGAATAATCTCCAGGAGTCTCTGGCTACTGTCTGAATCAAATGGAGGAAATTTGCCTGTGAATTCAGGGGACAGGGAGAGGAATTAAGAGAGGTTCATAGCATGAGGTGCTGGGCTAGCAGCAGGTTTGTTTTTTTTTTAAGAAAAGAAAACACCCAAAAAAATCTCACAACCCATTACCCTGTAATCAATTTTCCATTAATAGAAGTTTAGTAGAGGGATGCTCAAAGGACACCAACCCACAAGGCAGGCACAACAGCTGGCAGCAAGGTTTGGGGCAAAGTTGGCTGTTGCCAGCCCCCACTACCCTGCCCAGACACTTCCTGCAGAACAGCCCCCAAACACAGGGATGTTTTTAACTTCATTAGCTAGAGTAGCTTAAAAGTAGCTAGAGTAGAAAAACTAGTGAGCTTGTACTTAGCTCCCTTATGATGAAACTGAAAACAGAATAAGGAATTCAAGGATCCTTGAAAGTCAAGGAGGAGTGAAGTCTGTCCAGCTGTGTGGATAGAACCAGCTTTCTTGGCTTGTACGAGTTCATCTGAATAGAGAAGGTGTTGATTGCATTTGAGCCTTGGAAGTTTGCTTCTCAGTTTTTAGTTTAAGGTAACATTGTCCTCGTGATGGTTTAGCTTATGTTTTCCACAAAATGAGAATTTTAAATGCAAAACCTATGATTTATTAAAAGAAAAATTAAAATTTAGTATTCTAATCAACAAATGCAAAGCTTCAACTTCAGCATACCATATCAAACGTGAATAAAATTCTTGTTAAAAAAAACGAAGAGGTAGCAAACTTTGAAAAATTATTATGGTCACTGTAATGTTTGCAAAGCTTTCAGATATGAAAGGTGCACTTAGAACACTTTCTAGACACACAGATGCATACATATTTCTACATGTGTTTATATATTTGGCAGAAATTTCAAATCAGTACAAGTGTATTGCGAAATTGAGACATTTCATCTAAGTTAAAAAACAGATATATAAGTATGCTTGTATAGATGAATCTGAATTAGATGTCACCTCTGGAGCTTCTTGTCATCACAAAAAAGGTGTGCTGATTGCACGCCTGGCAGAAGCTCATGCCATACATGAAAGGAAACAAAGCCCCATCTGTTTGCCTCACTGGTGAATATGGCAGAATATGGTAGAGCTGAAAGCTATTCCATTCTGGGTTAATGGAGCAGAAGAGCTGGGATGTAGTGGCTGTTGATTTTTATCTCCATCCAGCATTAGGAACAGTTGAAATAAATATAAATAGATAGAAAATGGCTTTTTTAACCACGCTTTCCTTGTGTGCAGAAAACTAAGCTCATATCCTTGTTATTAGGGATAATCAAACCAAATTGAACCAACTAAATGAGTAGGTTTCATGTCTAAACTGAACTTCTTTTCAACTTGGAGAAATTAGGTTGAATTACTAGTGAGTTTTCTGGGTCTCATCCATTTATGGATTCCTGCTTGCATCTTCTACAGAAGGCACAACCTATTAGAGGGATAAATGGATGAAAGGGAAAGGCTACATACAAGGTATCTGTTTGCAGCCTAGCTAGAAGCAGTAAAAGCAGCAAGACAGATTTCTAGTCCTACTTCTGGGACTGGAGAAACATCATCTGTTCATGCTACAGGTACTTGTGAAATGGAACTAAAATCCCAATTTTAGGGCAATTTACATAGAATTTTTGCCAGAAAAAAAGGTTATTTCTGGTTTTCAAACGACAAAACCCAGGATCTATTGCCACTTTCTATTTGTAGCGTTTTCTATTCACTGAGGTGGGAGTTTTCTGATATTCAGAGTCTTCAGGTTCTATTGATCACGTTTTACTTCAACATCTGTTTCACATGGGGCTCCAGTGTGAAATTCAGAACAACAATAAAAAAAACTCCCACAAAAGTATTGTCCAGACTACTGATTAGTTACCATAAAAATTTCTGAATCTCTTAACCTGTGATTAACTGGGGAGCACTCAGAAATGTGCACATAAGAATTGTGGTGGGAAAATGCACATGCAAATATAGATGACATTCCTTCTGCTTCATATTCAAGAGTGAGCAAGGGGAGGATTTTAAATTTTTTCTGGTTTTGTTTTCTGTATTTTTCTTTTTGTCATACCTTTCAGACCGTTGAAAACTGTGTGTGCATTTTGAGGAACCTCTCATACAGGCTAGCTGCAGAAACATCTCAGGGACAGCAGATGGGAACAGATGAACTTGATGGATTACTCTGTGGTGATGCCAATGGAAAAGATGCAGAGAGTTCAGGGTGCTGGGGAAAGAAGAAGAAGAAAAAGAAATCACAAGATCAGGTAATGAAAGTTATTTGCAGCTGTGTTGTGAGTAGTTGAAGTGCCCATCATTTAAAATATAAATAATTAATGCACTGTATTAGAAATTAAATGCATGATGCATAATATACTAAACTGTTGTCCTTGTTAATTAGCTGAGAGCTTAAAGTAGAATATGGCTCTGGAGTAATAAAATATGTTTGCTTGAGAAATTGTACATTATGTGGTGCACCTGGAAACTGTAGTCATGGGTACACTGTGAATTCCATAAATACTGTAAAATGCTCTTTGAAAGGAAGCCATTTCTAATGAAAAGTGTAATCTGCATATACTTTACACTGTACTTCCACAGAGCCACGTGTGTGTAGAAAGGCTTTAATGCAAGCAAACATCAGGTTTGTATATATACACTCACCTCCTTCAAAGTTAGTCTTGTACCATGCCTCTACATATTGAGAGAAAACTGTACAGGACTGAATCGAGTAATATGAGTAAATGTTAAAAAACCATTCATATTTTGATATATTTGATGTTGTTTCCAAAGAAAAATTGAAAAGCAAAGTCTTGATTGCTTCCTCAAGTTATTTGACAGGTTATAATTTTGGGTGGGTTGATTTTTAAAGTGTATTTTTCTCCTTTTTTATCCCATCAAGAACTTATAATTTTGGGAATACTGACAATTATATTGCAGAGAAAGAAACTGTTGTATCTGTACACACAGCAAATGGCAGTAAGAATGGCTACTGATTTATGGGCTTTTTCAGACAGCCTGTGCTGACAGTAAGTTTTCCACCTCTTCCTACACTTACTCACTTACCTTTTTGCATTGTAGTTTATTTCTATCTCAGATTCCTCAAGGAAAATATTTATTTGAGTATGCAATTAAGTGCACAGGGTAATAAATTATGTCAACCAGTACTGAAATATTCCTGAGTTCCTAAAGCCAAATGGTGTTGATGTGGAAAGGTTCTAGCAACATTACTAAGCTAAAACTTGGATACTGAAAAATTCAGCACTCATTACTAGTAAGACTTTATTTTCACCTACTCTTGTGGTTAAACACCATGTCATCAGATAACTTGAATTTATTATGGCCTTTTGTTGGGATTCCTGTGTTAGGCTACAGTGAGATTAGAAGTGTCAAAGCAAACTAATTTTACCCCGTGAAGCAGTAATCATCCCTGTTACTGAATTAACAGTTCTCACACACTGTGCTTGCAGTTATTCAAAGTGCAGGAGCAAAAAATAGCGTGTCTGGGTCTGAATGCGTCACACTGCAGCTTGGCTTGCTCTTTGATGCTCTGTTTACTAACACATGCACACACACTCACTATCTAAAGGCTTTTTTAAGTCTTCCTCTTCTATTTCTTCTGTGACTTTTGGATCTCACAGTCATACTTTTAACTCTGTACTGTTGACTCTTTCAGTATTCCCACAGGGTCTCTCTGTACTGTAATGGTTCCCTTAAAAATATTTTTTTGCTCCTCCAGGCCAAAGAGCTGAGCTCTTTTGGCCGATTGCCTTTACAATGTGCATGCTTTTGCCTGCTCTTAGATATTTTTTGTCTTTTCCTATGAGTGCTCATTATCAGCACATTGCGTGGTAAAGGTCTCTTCAGAGCTCTTAGTGTTGGCCTCATGGAAGAGTTTTATATAATTTTTAAAATCCAAAGAATAATAAAAGTACACGCATATTTTCAGGTTTATGATCACTAGGCTTTTCTGCGGCAAGGACATAAATTTACGCTTTCCAGAACTGATTCTGTTGTGCATAGCACTGCTTTGTATTACCAGTATTAGAAACATTTTTCTAATAGGTTTTCTTCTTTCAGCTAATTTCCTTTAAATCCAGATCTCCTACTTCATCTTGCCATATTAAAGGTCTCACATGTGGATATTATTCAGGTCAGGAATTTTAAGGGGGCCTTGTAAGCCTTCTGCAGGTTATTTTCACCCCATAATCCTTGACTGTTGTTGAACATTCCAAATGATTTGAAGTATATTATCAAGTTCATATATTATCAAGTTAACCAGACTGCCACTAAAAATAATAGCAGCAAGATCACTGTGCCAGAAACAGCTCTCCCAACTTACCCTCAAAAATGGAAAAGAAAAACAATATTTTTCATGTAACCACATTTATATTAATAGCATAAAATAACTCAAACTGTGATAAGGGTAAATGTAACTTTTTTGTCCATTTATTTTGCAAAAATAAGTACAGAAGTATGTTCAGAGGTGCTTGTCCAGTGTGGACACAATTGTCAATTGTGTAAAAAGACCTGTTCTTTCTGCTTCTTTGTCTTTGTGGTTCCTTTAATACTTCAGTGTTTTATCTTTTCAGGCAAAGCCCAGGGCACAGGCTCATCTCTGTCAGTTGTGACACCTCAGTACAGGGGAGTCGTATCCAGTCTATGGTTGCTACATTTTACATCCCCAGAAGATGTATTCAGGGTATAGGTTTTTTCCTTTTTTTGGCAGCCCATGGGGTTTTTGAAAAACAAAATTGCTGTTTCAGTCCTTCTCAGAATATAAGATATACAAAAGAGTGTGGAGGAAAATTGTTCAGATTTTAGTGAATGCAGTTTTGAAATTTTCCTATCACACTATCGCTGTAACTTAGTTTCTTCATTTTTATGTGAATTTTCTTGAACTCAATTTGTGCATTTATGAGGTAGTCTTTAATTTTTGGATAAAAGTATTAGTAAAAAAATAATAGCAAAACTATTGTAATTGCAAAAGAAAAACAGCTGTATCATTTTAGACAAAGAATGTGAATGAAAATGCAGTTTTCTGTATTTAAAAAAAAATCCCTCACAGAGCAGGGGAGTTTGTTTCTTAAGCCATAAAACAGGAGAAGCTTGATATTAAAGTCACTTTCTCATGGTTTTCTCTACAATGAAAGTACAAGTTAATTTCTTTGTTTTATGATTTACGGAGCAAGTATCCCAGTTTTTCTGTCATGTTTCAGGTGTAGTCACATGTAAATTACTTGAAGGAAAGAACATAATTGTGTGGTAGTATAAAATTTGGCTTCTTTTAAAGGCCTTTCAAGAACAAACTGGAATTTATTTTTTATTGATGACATTAGTTGTATGTCAGTTATCTACAATGGCAACTCCTGTACATCTTGGAATCAAGTAAGAGATGTGTCTTTGTTCAGATCATAGGTCTAATGACACCTTTCAAATTACTTTACTTAAGGAGTTCCCTTAGGATCACAGGAAACAAGTGTCCTCTACATTTCAGAATAAAGGTGGGTGGTGTTGAAAGAGCCCACAATCATTTTATCAGAGCTGAGAGAGGTTCCTGAGGCATCTGAGGCATCTGCTGTGTTGCACAAATTAAATTTTAGAAGAGGCCCAAACCTTCTGAAGGTTTGTGATAAAATCTAGGTATAGCACTGGTTTTATCACAACACAGAAAGCAAAACACTGAAAGCAAGTGAAACTCACTTGGCTTGTGTCTCAAACCTCTAGGACTGTAATTCTCTGCTGTTTTGTTAGTTTTTCTCTGCTGCTTACCTGTGATCAGCTGGTACTGAGCCCTCACCTCAATAAGCCCTCCAGCCTCAGACCCCTTCATCTCTGACTAGGACCTTGTAGACATCAACCTCTCTGCCTTGTATTGTGTCACTCTTAAATGGAAACTGATTCTTGCACTGCTGAAAATGCTTTTCATGCAGCTGGCATGCTCACTGCTGCCAACAGGTTTATTCTTTGAGCTGTATGAGAAACGAGGATTGTGACAAAAAGCAGTTAGGGCAAATCAGGTGTATGGTCCAACTTCAGTAAAAAAAAAAACCATGAGGGAGTTATCATTAATCCTTATTTATTTCTTGTTACACAGCCCATTATGTATACATGTGGAGCAATTTCTTTTCCTTTCTTCTCTAAGAGAAACAAGATGACTTCTTGGCTTCATGCTCATCTCGAGTTCCCCATCTGTGATCATTCTTGTCAAACCAGAATCTAGCCCAAAGTCTGTTTTTTGATTGGAAGTGACACTTCTCAAATGAGCCTGACCTTCTTTTTCACCTTCTGTCAGGAGCCTTAAGCTATAACAGCAACATTTCAAGTTATATATCATTAAGAATTGACTAGCACACCTCTTTAGCATGCTTGCTAAATGGCCTATAAATTCTTCTATCTGTGTGAAGTAGAAGGTTTAGGGCAATAATATTTCAAAAAGCATAAAAAATAAACCTGCCAGATACGTCTTTTCATGTGGTGAGACCACAATTTTAGCAAGTATGCTTCATACGCTACCAAGCCATACCAAGCTAATAAGCCCAGAAACAGAGAAATGGTGACAGGTCCTGGGTTTAACCAATAATGTGAACTGTGATTAGGGATGAAAGGCTCTGTTGCCAATACATTCTTGCTCAGAAGGAGTATTATTTCCACTTACTGCTTCATCATCTTGCACAAGGTGGTGATGTCAAATGTTGAGTAGCAAGAATCAACTGTCTTGAGCGATTCCTTACAGAGCATTTTGAAAACCATTTCTGCTTTCTTGCTTGCCTAGATACTCTGTGAGCTTCTCAGTGTCATGTTTGGCCAATTTGTTTTCAAAGTCAAAACTGCAGGGTTATTAAATATAATTTGTATTTGTCACTTGGTGGAACATGCTGCAAAGCCAATTAGATTCAGCTTTCTGTGGAGAGGAGAAGGGCATGCAGCTTTAACTCCATCCCCTTTCATTTGGGAAGGGTCTGTTTTTAAGCAAAGAGAAAATGTACAAACTGAATTAATATTTTTTTCTTAGCTAATATTAAGCATAATATTAAAAGGTTTAATAAAGGCATTGACAATTATTTTAAGAGTGTAATGTACAATGTAAAGTACAATTTAGATTTATTAATATCTGAATTAATTATAATGAGTCAGTGCACTGAAATGTTTTGAAAGCATTTTAAACACCTTTCCTATAATTGTAAATGTTGTTGCATCAAACTGGGAAGGGTACCTTTATTTATGTAATGAGCTCTGCTTTCTCCCACCATGCTCCTGTAGTCTCTGTATCAGTTAACACCTGCACTTATATTCACTACCTTTATTTAGGCCTGGATATCTAAACTGAAGTTTGACTTGATGTAAACAGTGGTATTCCTGCCTGCTTAGTGTCAGCTGCATGGATTCTAAATTAAACTCTGTGACTTGGTTGTATTTTTTGTTGCTGAATTTCTGATTTCTGCTCTTTTTTCAGCATTGGCCAATTCACCTCTTGGACAAAGCTGTCCAAAAGAGGTTATTGGATGACCTGTCTAGGGAGAGCTGGCAGAGACTGTCACAGCCACTAAGACGTGCAGGATGAGATATCAGTGTCTTCTTAGGGGGCCTGTTAATTTTAAAATCTTTGTCATTTCAGAAATGGTTTTAGTAAGCACTATGTAATTACTCATTTGAATTTTGTCACTGCTGCTTCAAAAAACATAGCTACAGTGTTATCATACTATCCCAAATGTCTGGGATCATTTGAGAGGGGTCTAGATGGTTTTAGACATTTCTGGGGTTTGTTTTAATTTCTTCCTGGATTTTTTTAGTAGTGGTATTTTGGAGAGGACGTATTCATATGTAATTGATTGAAATCAAACAGGTTTTGTTGTTATCACAGGAAAACCTGTAGTCATGTGATACCTATTTAAAAGCAAACCCCACCAATTTGAGGTTGTTAGTACAAACCCTAAAATCTACAGAGTATACTTCTTTTGCTGAGTTGAAGCCTTCCCAGGTATTTAGTACAATTGCACTATAAATATGGATTTACTTTCATTAAAATGAGAAAGGTGGTGGTAGATAATCTATTGTGCAGCACAGGAAAGCATCTCGATGAGTGATCTTCTTCTCCTCTCAAAGTTCCTTACAATTATGAAAATTAGGAAATTTTATTGGAGTACTCTTACTATCAGAAGTCTGTTTTTCTTACAAGATCTTGGTATTTGGCTTTTTATTTTTCTAGACTTTCATCCTTTTTTTGCACCAGTCTCAGGAAATGAGAGATTTGTATCTCACCCACGTAACAAGCAGTTTGTCAGCTTCAACCACAATATATGTGGGTAATTTCAGCTGAAGGAGGGAAGCCTGGAAGGAATATTTGTTTATGACTTTTTTTTTTCCTTAGTATAAGCTAGGAAGAGTAATTGCATGTTGTCCTCTTTTTTGGAGGCTCCTACTGCAGCCTAAGTCTCTTTCAAATAGACCTTCCTGATCATTTCTGATGGGCTGCAACAGTACAGTAACTCTTCCAGTAATTTACTGGGTAGAGGTGTTTACTGGGTTAAGATGCTACCTCTGCTCATCAATATTTAGCAATGCAAACTGCAAAGCAACTTCTGCCATGCCTTACTACTATTTTAGATACTGACTCTAATACCACTTGGGGAATTTTTTTTTTTTTTTTTTCTCAGGCAATTGATGTTTATGAAATACAAAATAAATGAATGAAGATCAGGCAAATCTCCTTTGCAACAGCTTCTTTGCCTACCCGGGTCAGATCTGTGTGCCCTGCAGCGGTTGGGCTGCACAGCTTCGGGCACTGGTCTCAGCTACACAAAAGACACCAGAAGCCCCTGAGCCCTACAGTGAAGAGGCTGCCACAGATGCAGCAGGTGTCGTGGTTTAACCCCAGTCAGCAGCCAAACCCACACAGCCCTCACCCAGTGGGGCGAGGGAGAAGAAGAGTGAAAGTGAGAAGACGTGTGGGTTGAGGTAGAAGCAGTTTAATGGGGAAAGCAAAAGCCCCACATACAAGCAAAGCAAAGGAAGGAATTCATTCACCACTTCCCATGGGCAGGCATAAACACTTCCCATCTTCAGCCATCCCCAGGAAAGCAGAGCTCCATAATGCATAACAGTGATTTGGGTAAATAAACCCATCCCTCCGAATGTCCTCCCTTCCTTCTTCTTCCCGATAGCTTTATAGCGTGACACCATGGGCTATGGAATGTCCCCTTGGTCAGCTGGAGTCAGCTGTCCTGGCTGTATTCCCTCCCAGCTCTGTGCATCCCCATTCTCCTCGCTGGTGGGGTGGGATGAGGAGCAGAAAAGGCTGTGTCGGTGTTACTCAGCTGTGACTAAAACATCCCTGGGTTATCAAGGCTGTTTCCAGCAGAAATTGAAAACATGGCCCCATACCAACTACTGTGAAGGTAATTACTCCAGGCAAAACCAGCACAGCGTGGTGAACAGTGACACCCTCCCTGTGCAGCCTCAGCTGCTCTGGGCACACACACCACATGTGAAGAGCACTGCAGGACATTTTCCACAGTCACTGAATTTCCTATGCTTTCACTGCACATGCATGTGTGGTACCAAAGATTTTCATCATTATTACATGGACTCTGAGGCATCACAGCATCTTGGGAAAACGGTTTTCCCTCACAGTTGGTGATAAATTAATGCAATCATGCTGAAAGTGAGTTGCAAGAAGGGCAGGGAAATGCAGTAATTTGTCTCTCTTTTTTTTGGTTTTTTTTTTTTTTAATGTTTTCTCATTACTGGGCAGAATGGCAAAACAACATTAAATATTAATTTATCTGCTAAATCATTTCTAGTGCTTTATATGTAACAGCACAGCATGAACATGTATATAGAGCTCTACTTACATCAGCTGATTTTCAGTACTCCTTGGGATCATACAAGTGTAAATAGCTGAGCATAAAAAAAAATCATACCCCCACATAGGCATATACCCCCTTATATGGGTAGATACATTTGATGCATTTCATGTGCTTTGTCCTTGATATAATATACCCTGTGCAAACAGTCTTTACCTGCATAATGCATAATTGGTGCAAGTTGGAATGACACAAGTGAAGACTTGAACTGGTGCCCTTGGACATCACAAGTCATTCATTAGTGGATTTACTAAGGTGCAAAACCTCAACCTGGTGTGAAGTCAGATTTGACCTGTAAGATATGTCTCTCATTTGTTTTCAAAAAAAGTTTGACAGTGTGAATGATTGAATTCTGAGACTTAAAATAAGAAGCAGGCTTTAATGTATTTTTTATGAGCTGAAAAGAACTCATTTCTAGCAAGGCTGGTGATTTATAAGGAGGATAAAGAAGAACGGAGTCCCATGCACTGAAAACAATCTATTGGTTTAAAGGCAGAAATGCATTAAAAATTTCAAAGACACAGCCCCATACTGGTGTCATTTGAAGGCATTGTTTCTCCAGGAGGCATTTGTCCTCTACTTTCTCAACCACCACTGGGCATTGGTATGCCAGTTCTTTTAATCTATGATAACATTTGTCCAGCGTAGTGAGTTTCACATCTGAGCTGCTTTTTGGTAACTGCTCATGTGTATGAAATGGTTCCTCTAGCTTTCCACTTTGGTGTTTGTTCTGATTTAATTTAGAAAAGAATAGCAGGTTTCATTCCTAAAGGTATTGATCACACAAAACCTTGTTGAAATTGGGTTAGTTGTTATTAGGGAAAACCTGATTGGTTGTCCCTTAAAATATACGTATTTTATTTTTAAAGTTAGTGTAAATAAAATTATGGTTGATACTCTGTGAAAACAAGAGGTTCTGGGTCTTTCCCAGTGCAAGTATTATTGTACACTCATAACTAGTTAAATTAACTGTTGCAGATTTAAACCAGGAGTTAATTTGACTTATGCTATCAGTTTAGTAGATGTTTAATGTTATACTACAGATTTTTTGTTTACATAGGCACAGTAACCTCTCACCCAAGGTACTAAAAGGTATACTTTTTATTCTATTACACAATGTGGACGTACCAGAAGTCTTAGAAAATATATTTCATTAAAAAGTTAAGGCTTATTCCTAACAGTTGCAGTAGTGTAATGAATTATTAAAATCTCTTTATCTGCACAAAACAAAACAAAATATACAATAAATATATAAGTAGATTTCCATTTAAAATTTTATTGAAAGTGCATTCCACATCTTACTTTTGTTTAAAAGGCAAAAAGAAAGTCTGTGTATTTTCCTTTGTGATGTTTCTTACGTAGGTGCAAGTGTTGTATGCTCCACTGGAGAGGAGAATCCCTGTCCTCCTGGAATAAAGTATTTATTTCTGGTAGGAGTGGGTTTTGTGCAGTAACCTACCAGTTGTTCAGGTTTAAATATCACACATTTTGGATATCAGACTTGGATTGTTTTTCATGGCAAAACTCTGCATGTGATGAGAGGAACAGCGTGTTTTGTGAGCGCTGGTTCTACCAATTGCACTGGAGTCTCAGACCACACAGCTGGCTGGCTGAATAATTCCTGCACTCCCATTGTGAGAAGCCAGAAGTTGTGCCATTGAAGAAGATTTGTCACTTCTGCCTTTCATGGGATGGAGGGCTCATGGCCTTGAATGATTTTGTTCTCCATAGTAGCATTTTGTGTTGTTTTTCCTCTCATGGGAAGAGAGAGAATGTGGAGAACTGAGAAGGATGTAAAAAGAACATCTCTTCTCCCCATGCAAGTTCTGGATTTGCCTCTTAAGATAACGTTCATTGGGCTTCTGTTCCCACACACAAAAAAATACATACTGTGAAAAGTGTTTTTGTGATGTCAGCTAGCTAAAACATTGGGATTTCACCCAATCTTATAGCTTGTCTATATGGAATGCTGAGTAGGAAATTTGGTCCCTCCATGAAGAATCACGTGATGTGCAAAAATTGAGAACATATGTTTATGGGCAGATGCCTTCACAGATGTTATAGTTTCAACTGAGGCAATTCTCAAATGTATTCCGCTGTTCCTTGCTGACAATCTGATTTGTGCTTTCCAACAGTGGGATGGCGTAGGACCTCTCCCAGACTGTGCAGAACCACCCAAAGGAATCCAGATGCTGTGGCACCCTTCAATAGTCAAACCCTACCTCACACTTCTTTCTGAGTGCTCAAATCCAGACACGCTGGAGGGGGCAGCAGGGGCACTGCAGAACTTGGCTGCTGGGAGTTGGAAGGTAGGAATATTAACCCAATACATATTTCCTCTTCAGTTCTGAAAGCACCCTACAGCTGACAGCAGGTTGGTGATATCAATGTATCTAATTGCTTCTGGTAGTGGGATAACCTTCTGTTCTCATAGAACTATCTGAAGTCAAATCTGAGATAGTATTTCAAATCCTAAGTAGTCTTATCATAGCAAATGTCAGCATACAGCAGCAAAGATCGCATCGGTCAAGTCAAGTATGAAAAATTGCTACTGAAAACCAATATCCAAATACGGAGAATGAGAAGAAGTAGTTCTTTATGAACCTGGGTTGACAGAGCCATGAAAAATGAACCAAAAATGCCACCAGTGGCAACCAAATGAAACCATGTTGTTTTGTCACTGCAGAAACTGGTTGACATTCTGTCCCTTAGGAAAAGGCAGGGCACGGCAGAGCAGGATATAAACGATATTGACACCAACGCAAGTAATCTTAGCATCTACTTTTTTTTTAAATAAGGCATTATTAAAATACATTCATAATATGATTAATTATATACAATGAGTGAGGAAATGTGCAATCAAGGCACTCTACTCCAGCTAATCTTATTTTTCAATTATATTCAAAAGCACCATTTTTCTTTTACATATTATTTGCAGTATGTCAAGTAAAAAATTTAAGAAAATGCTTGCAAATTTAGCACAGTTCAGTAAAATTCAACATTGAACTTTGTTTACTTTTTAGGGCAACTTTCCTGGTGGTAAACTGGTTTAATTGGGTGAAAGTACTAACTGTGTAATCCTATGGTGTAACTGTATTGCATTGATTTTAAATTAACTCTCAGCAGGAATTTTTCTCATTTAAAATGAAAACAGTCATGTACAGGGAAATGCACTGATCAAAGTTATGTCTCAGAAGGTATCCTGTTGGGTTTTAAGCAGTTGGGCATTCGTATGTGATATGTAAATACCAGTTTAATTAGGTATTCATTTTGAAATATTAGCACTGACACTAAGAAATTGTTTTCTTTTTCACATAAAGTTTTATTGGAAGTTGGGTTGGCACACTCACTAGCTCTTCCAAGTGATATTATGTTTTTGGGGTTTTTTTTATAATGGTGTTCCACTAGACTTATAATATGTGGTTGACTGTTGCATTCAGTGGCATGTAAAATGATTTAACAAAGTATCTTTTCAGTGATTTTTTGTCCTATGTAGCACTGTGCCTGAAAATCATTATGGTTTTATTATTCTCGTTTTGTAGACTGCTTCAGATGGTGTAATGCTGGCAGCAAAATGCAATAAATGTGTTCTATCCATCTGGGAATGGGTGTAGCCATGGTCCAGATGAGAAAACAACACATGCATGTTTGCCAGGACTAATAGAAGTGCTAAAATCCAAGTGGTGTCCCTTCTCCCAGTTCTAATAAATCTGTATACCTGTCATCCTTTACTTGGCAAAAGTGTACAGTGAGAGGAAGGGAGGGTCTGCAGAGCTCTTTGTCGAGTGCTGGCTTAGAAAAACTGGTTCTGGACTTTAATACTATCTGTGCTGATACCATGGGAAAAGCTGGGTTGTTCTCATATTGCTCTATTTTTCTAAAGATCCACCAATTCTATTACAAGGGATGTGCAGAGACACAATGAATATCCTTAATTTCACATGTCATACTAGCCATTTTTGTGAGGGGAGTAATCCTCTTTGGGGATTACATAAGCATTGATGTTTCCACCTTTTGACCTCTCCTTTCCGCTGCTGCAGTCCAGACATAAAATGACTGAAATAGAAGATAGAAAACTCTTAAAAGAAGAGGTTATTCCTAAGGGAGATTTTAATATTTTAGTTCCTCCAACAAATGGTAATTGTATAAAGAATGGAAATTTATTTTTTTTTACTTGAATTCTTTCATGAACTTTATGATTACTGAAACTCATAACTGAAAGAGAGAAGAGCAAACTGTATGAAGATAAACAATGTTGCTATTAATATTAATAGCAATAGCAGTTGTGGGCTTTTTCCAATTAGCATTATTTTAATGACAGAAGAATCACAGACTATATGAAGCACCCAGCCTAGCAGGTGTGCTCACACACTACTGAAGTTATAGTCTCTTCTGGAAAAAATACAATGCAGTTGATACAATTGCACAATTCTTTCTTAGCTGTTTCACCCTTTTGGTTCCTCTGGTACAAAGCTGTCTAATCCTCTTGGGTGGCCAAGAGGTAATATTTTTAACACAGGCAGTGCTTAGCCAGTGCTATTACAGAGAGAAAGTGAGCAGATAAAATGAAGCCTGAGTAATTTTTAAAAAATAAAAAGTTATGTAGGGGATTTAGATAAATGTCTACCACTAGAATTAACAGACGATATGTGTCTAAATCCCCTAGACTGCTTTGGAGAATTTCAGGCACAAAAAGAAAGCAGCAGTATGTAACTTTAAGGATTAATAGCTCAGAAAGGCTGAAAGTTTTCATTATTTCAGGGTGTATAGTTTCTCAGGGATACATACACATAAAATCAACACATGCACATGGTGAAACATAATCTGTAGGACAATTTTAGTACTGCTTCAGTTGCAGTACTAAATTCCTCTAAAGCCAAATACTAACATGAAAAAAAAGTGGGACATGCTTATATTTACAGACAATTCTTCTGTGTCAGAATGAAACGCTTAGGACTAAAGTCTTGACATATATTACTCATCTGCAGAGTAAAACTTGGGAATTTATTATAATGACTAATGAAATATTTGGTCAGTGCAGTTATTGTTACAGCAAGCACAGTCTGTACCAGAAAAAGGAGCATCTTGGTGGCAAATACATTAAGAGATCTAAATGAAGATTTATTAATAAATCAGGATACTGATTTTGAGGTATGAGAAAGAATATTTTCAATGTTAAAATTTAATCTGGCATAATTTATGACTGCGTATCTTGACTTCGCTGTATATTCTAGTTTTGAAAAAGATTGACAGCTTATATACAAAGCAGAACTCATTTTGGAAGAGACTGTTTCAGATAAACACAGACATTTGTTCATCTCACTGTTCTGCATCAAGATGTCATCACTTAAGGAGGACACTGGTATTGGAATCTGAAGGAGAAGAGCCATCTTTGTCACGGAAAATTACATGCATATCCGCACAGAGATATCTTTTTTTGTTCTTGTGCTTGCTTGATGCATCTATGAAAGATAGGATCGGCCCTCCTGGTGTAATATCTATGGAGACAGCCAATGTGTAAGTCTTTTGGAAAGACTGGACAAATTAACATTTTCCACATCGCTGCCAGGCTATCACACTGCCTAAGGTCCAACTGCTGCCTTGCACAACGATGTGTGACACCAGCCAGGGGTCACTGCGTGTCCCGCTCCTGGCAGGGCTGGTGGCTGCCAGTAATACACACTCCAAGCACAGTGCAGCACTGGGGCAGTTTGTCAGCCCTGGATCTGCACCCACCTACCGCCTTCTGATGAGCTCAGCTGCTACATGGGACTGGAAGGGTTGCTGTTTTAGAGAAGTCATTGCTTCCCAAAACATTTTATCCCATCAGATCATAACCACGGTAGTTCCATGATATCCTGAACATCCCGCAGGCACAAGGAGCAACACGTGAAAAGTGTGGCCATTGGGTTAGGCTTTGCTTCCTCTTATTGCCTCTCTAAGTTGTTTTTTTTTTTTTTTTCAAATAATAGGCTTTTTTTAATTATACTTGATGTGAATTTGAATATTAAAGCTGCTTAGAAATATGAAATAATAAAAGTAGGGAAAGACTTTCCTCATCAATCTTAGCTGGAGTTTTCCCTGAACAAATAAGATTTGAGACATGCCTTTGGAAGCAGTGCAAACTCTTGATTTCCCATTAGGTATTAACTTTCACTGGGAGCTCTGTTATTTTTCTTTGCCACTTAATTTGTGTTTAACCAAATTTGTGCAAAAATGTAGAATAAGTAAAAAGGAGACTTTCTGACTCTCTCAGCTCTATTCTGAAGACAATTGCCTGCTTATTAAGAAATCTCTCCCGTTATAACTCTTCAAACCAGAAGTTCTTTCTGCAACCTCATATATTTTTTTTTATTTTAATGCCTTGTATTGAAAAAATTACATGGTTTAAAATTACAAGAGTGATCCTGTAAAAGATTATCTTTTTATATGTAGTCTGGCATTAGTACTCCTCCTCAGATGGTAAAAATAAAAGTGGCAAGTTCTTTTTAGTTTTCACCTTGGTCAACTGGCTATTAACACATTATATCTCCTGAGCCTGTAAAAAGTTATATGCAAAATGTCCTCGAGTTAACAGTGTCAAGCATCCAAGGTTACGTCCCTTCTGAATAAAATTACCCTCTCAGGAAGAAAGGAAATATTAGGATTACTGTGTCTGTGTGTATGTATCTGACAGCTGAATTTGGGTTGATATCAGTTTATCTGCCAGACATTCTTCCAATATTGCAAGACCTGTTGCTCTGAACTCATAGAATCACAAAAGAGCTCAGGTTGGCAGGGAGCTCTGTAGGTCATCTGGTCCAACCCCCTGCTTAAGCAAGGCCACCTAGAGGCAGTTGCCTGGGACCATGTTCAGATGTTTTCCTGAATGTCTTCAAGACTGGAGACTTTACGAGCTCTCTGGGCAACCTGTGCTAGTGTTCAGTCCCCCTCACATGTGAAGAAGCAATTCCTGCTGTTCTGCAAAAGTGCTGTGTTTCAGTTGTTGCCCATTGCCTCTGGCCCTACATTACCTGTGCTATTACGTGCAGTTGGCAGTGCAGTGTTGTCACCACAAGTGGCATTTCCCTAGTTTTGCCAAACCATTAAAAATAAATTCTTCATTTGTATGATCCTTTAAAAAAAATACTATCATGACTTACATAGGCAAGACCTGTCTTTTAAAACCAGGAAAAAAGATTTACTATATTTCTTCTGGCTTACATTGGAACAGATAGCACACCTGCTCTGGGCCTTGCTTAGTCCCTTCTGTGCACCCAGTCTTCTGTCTCAGTTCCTTTACAGGCTTTATGAACTCCCTCATCTGCTT